AATGAATTGGAATCAACTCAACCACACTTAACAACAACAACAACAACATGGGCATAATGGATCCTGGTATGGCACTGTAGAATAAGTGAATCGACTCAACCACACTTAACAACAACAACAACAACATGGGAAAAATGGAGTCCTGTTATGGCGCTGTAGGATAAGCATTGTACTGTAAGGTTGGTTTGAACTGAAAGGTCTGTGAGTCAAACTCATCATTCACTCTTTGGACACCCTATATTGAGTCACTATGAGTCAGAACTGACTTGAAGGCAATTAACAAAAAATAGGTGGTATACAATGAGTCATTGAAAGATAAAGAAATGGTTGATGTTGTTCAACCATTTCAAGAGGTAGCATATGATCAAAAACAGGTGATATTGAAGGAAGATGTCAAAACTACACTGTAGGCTTTGGAAAAAACATGATTTCAGAAACGGATTGAATGTACATTGAAATCTTTTAACAAACTGATAGATTACTGGAGGTGCTCAATCATCTATGCCAAGAAATTTGGAAGACAACTACCTGGCCAAACAATTGTAAAAGATCGTTACTTGTGGCCATTCCAAAGAGAGGTGACCAATGGAATGTGGAGATAATGGAACAATATCATTAATGTCACATGCAAGTAAAATTTTGCTGAAGACACAAAAATGGCTGCAACAGTGCATCGACAGGAAACTGCCAGAAATATAAGCAAGACTCAAAAGAACCCCTGAACTAGGAATATCTTTGCTGAAGTTAGATGGGATCTTGGCTGAAAGCATAGCGTGCTAGAAAGTTTACTTGTAATTTATTGACTATGCAAAGGCATAGTGGGTGGATCATGACAAGCTATGTATAACATTGTGAAGAATGAGTATTCCATAATACTTCATTGTACTCATAAGCAACTAGTATATAGACCAAGAGGCAGTGATTCAAGCAAAACAAAGGAATGCTGAATGGTTTAAAATTAGGAAAGGCATGCACTGGAGTTGTATTCTTTCATCATACTTATTCAATCTGTATGCTGAGCAAATAATCCAAGAAGTTGAGTTATGTGAAGAAGAACATGGCATCAGGATTGGAGGAAG